GTGGATTCAATGGAATTACTAGGTTGTTAGTGATTCGGAATAGAAAGGTTTAGGATGTTGATTACTTGATTATTTGAATTGGTTTCCATTGTTGGTTATTGAATTGTTGATTAAATGGATTGATTTGATTTATGGAATTGATTGGTTAAATTGCGCATTGTTTTCCGCTGAATGTTTGATTGTGAGAATTTAGCATGTTGAGGATTAGTATTTATGAGAATACTAATTCGATGCAAAAAAAAAAGGGTCGGGTTGTTTCAATGAGAGCTTGATACGTAGATAAAATTCTTAAGCACTAGATCGTGAGATGTGTAATTGTTAATTTAGATTATGACATGTGTTAATATTAACAAAAATGTTTAAAAAGAAAATAAGGAATATATTCTAAACAATGATTATGGACTAATTAAGAAAAAAAAATTCGTTCTACTAAACTATGTAATATTTTCAATATTAACAAAAAAGAAAAAAATAAGGAATATATTCTATACAAAAGTTAGGGACTAATTAAGAAAAAGAAAAAAAAACCGTTCTACTAAAATATGTAATATTTCTAAATTTTTATATTACAAAATACATTCTTATCATTATAAATTATCTAAATAGTTAAAGACAAAAAAAAATATTTATTTATCAGTGTGAATTTGCTAATAAAAGCATAACATATAAACATTACATAACCCATAAAATAAACAAATAATACATATAGTATAAAAATCTCAATTAAAATAAATAAAAAGATGAATGATAAAAAAATAAGATATATAAATTGGAAAAATAAAATTTATAAAGGTTATAGTACCCTCAATTTAAAAGTTTAAAATATACACAGCCATGCAAAAATAAAATAAAAATAAAATCTATAAGAACACTTATTTCATCAATATAGAATTCTAAAATATCACAAAGAAAATGGAAATTTTGACCTATGATGCGAGTGATACTCTTCAAGTGTATATATTGAAAATTTATAAAAGTTAAAAAAATTATAATACTAGTATATTTACTATTAAGTTAATACTGTATAAAATTTGGCGAGTATAAATCTCTATGAGAAATAAAACGATGACATTAATAAAATACAATTATCAGTCATGTAATTATGTGATGGTTCACAACATTATTTAAAGTTTTTATGAGTTTACTAACATAAAATTTACTCATTTCTTATTTAACTATATAGGGGGTGTATTTAAAGG